GTTGCCCCACCCCTTTATTGGAAGAATGACAAGCTTGGCAGTGTAAATGCATGTAACAGGCAGTTCCCATCTATTTATTTATTTTTGAATTTTAAAATGATAGCTACAGGGAGTGTAATACATTGTGTATCACTTATATTTAAATACCTAAGATCTAACAACAAGGATTCCATAGAAATGAGACAAGTGAAAAGTAAAGATTACACTTGAAGCTCTATTAACTTCTTTAAAAGGACTTTTCAACATCCCAATAGTTGACCACAAAACTCAAAAATAAGAAAACAAGGAAAGAACTAAGGAGAGAGGAAAGGGCTGAAGAAAGTATGGAAAGATTACGAAGCCAGACAGGTCATTTGGGGCTGCATTTGACTGTATGTCAGAGCCATGATCCCTGTTCTCAGAGGAGCTGCTTCAGAAACTTACAGCAAAACAGCCCCTATGTATTCTTTATTTGTATTTGAGGATTATAAGATGGACCTCCTGTTGCTCTTTTGCTAACAATGAAATGTAAGAAATAAGCAATGTAAAATGTGAAAATTGCTCCAGTATTAAACAAATGCTACAGGTCTAAGATTTCAGCTAACCTTTTTTTATGTCAGTGTTAACTTTCCTATAATGCCATATAATCAGTGAAGAATAATATTCTTTCAGAGGGCTATGAATTCATTTCTTTATTATTGTACCTTTCAGATTTTATTTACTCTTTTAGGTTCTTACACTAGTGAGATAATGTGATGTTTATACATGAGGGTCTGATTTATTTCACTTCTGGTAGAGCCTCTAGTTGCAACCATTTACCCATAAAAGCTTCGAGTTGATCTTTTTTATAGTTGAGTAATACTCCTTTGTTTAAAATACCATATCTTTTCTTATCCCTTCCTCAGCTGATGGACATGTAGGTTGTTTCCAAGATTTAGCTATGACAAAGTGTATGGCTATAAACATGGGTGCACATATTTCACTATGAAATGGTATTTTTAGTTCTTCTGGAAAAATACCAAAGGAGAGATATCTGGGTTAAATGGGACCTTTAATCCTAGCTTTTTGAGTAATTTCCATGCAGGTTTCCATAATGGTTGTAGCAGTCTACACTCCCACAACAGTGGAGAATATTTAAATGCCTACATTAATATGTTTTAATCATATCATTTTGTGACCACTTCATATTATTAGACTGCACCTGTATGGGACACTTACAATGTATAATGGAAGTATATACTTCAAAATAGTCATATTTAATGTACTCTGAACAAGTCAGTGATAGATAGTCACACTTGCATTTCCATTTTATTTAGTTGGTTGCTACAGCAACATAGCATAAATCTAATATGGCTTGAAACCTTGGGTATTTTTCTATAAGCCACAAATTACTTTAAAGAAACAGTACAAAAGAAATAGAAAATACATAAAGGAAGCTAGGATCAGAAAAAGTGTAACTTAATGTAGAAAACCAATATGAGAAGAATGCAAAGAATCAGAAGGCACATACTGATATTTAGGTGACTGCACAGATTTTGAGTCTGAGGTACGAATTTGGTTATGAGTTTCCAGACAGCTAAGATTAAAAGGGAAATATTATCATTACAGATGCTTGTTACATAACGACTCAGATAAAATCACTGCCTTGCCTCTTGTTTCTGAATGAAGTCTGCCGCCTAGAATTTCATGGGTGGGGGATAAATTTTACATACTACTCTTGAGAAAATGGGATACTAGGTCATTGGTGGTGTAACAAACATTTTACCTCCACTGCTCTAGAGGAAGTTGAGGACTTATACCGAAGTGCTTATAGGTGAAGGCAATCATTATGTAGCTTAACCCAAGGATAATATTTATAATATCTACAAAGAATGGATGCCCCCTTAGACATTTTCTATATTATTTCTTGTGAGCATTTTGCTAAAAGCCAGGCTACTGGAAGTTTGAGATTTTTTTTGGAAAGGGACAAGATTTACAAATGCCTGAGGGAAGTAGCCAGGGTTTACTAGTACACACACTTAGCTATTTTCACTGAGATAATATGTTGTACCTTTTGAATGCAGTCTCACCTTTCTTTCCTTTTCCTTCAGGAAGAGGTTCTTGTTTGCCATGTGAGGTTTCTAAATAAAATTAAGCACATAAATAATATTTATGACCTATTCTACTAGTCTATACCACATAATTTCTAAGTGATGAAATATTACTTTTATAGTTGTATTTGCACTAATGTGAATTGGGTCTTTGTATGAGATAGAAGTTAATCTGAGGAACAGTGTAGGCTTACCATGCTAAAAGGATACAACTAATAATCTTCCTCTATGCTATTCTATCACACTGAGTTTAGTTCAAGCTTTAGTATTAACATGCATCCACAGGGTTGATTATAACCTGCTTCATGGAATTGTGGAGTTCTTAGCTACTCACAGGTCATTTTGAAACAGATGACTAGATTTGGATTCATTATAATGGAACAAACCTTAATAAGACAACTAGACTTGTAGCAATGATTATTAAACACTTTACACAATAATTAAATGATCACATTGTGTTGATAAGGTCCATGTTTAAAATTTTCTTGACCACGCACTACACTGCCTTATGACTTTTACACATTTGTATTGATTACAATTTGTAATGTAGATGATGATTTAGGTATGTCTATCTTGGATTATCTGGAATCTAGTTTAAATATATTGTGAGAGGGAAAATGGGAAATGGATGATCGAAGGCGTGAAGATATATCAAATAATAAATTAGGTCCTTGAAGAAAATTCACTGCATCCTAGCTTTATTTGCTAGCAAATATAAGCATTTTCCTCCTTTGG